CCAGCCTCGCTTCGATTAAGCATTTTGAAGGAGTTGCACGAAGCAAAAACAGCGGGCCACCTAGGGGTCAGAAAGACTTTAAAAAGGGTACGCGAGGCGGTATATTTCCCGCAATTATACAAAATAGTAACGGCGTATGTCAGGTCCTGCAATCAATGTCAGTTAATAAATGATATTAATTACAGCCCGGCCGGGTACTTAAATAGCATTCGCGCTACATTTCCGAATGAAATTTTAGGCATAGATCTTCTTGGTCCCTTCCCCCAGAGCGAGTTAAATAAAAATCGTTTTCTTTTAGTAATAGTAGATCATTTTTCAAAATGGACAGAAATTGTTCCACTTAAACGCGCGTCAGCCAAAAACAGTCGCAGATGCATTCTTACACAGATACATTTTAAAATACGGTGCACCGATAAAAGTCATTAGCGATAACGGAAAACAATTCATTAGTCAAATATTTGAAAACATATGCAATGGACTTGGCATACGCCATATCAAAATGGTTCCGTATAGACCACAGGCTAACATAGCAGAAAGAGTTAATAAAAAACATAGTAAAAATAATTCGCAGTTACGTGAGCACACATCACAAGCGCTGGGATGGCTACATAAATGAATTAGCTTATGCTTTAAGAACGGCAAATCATGATACTACGGGAAAAAACTCCAGCAGAATTATTCTTAGGCCGAAAATTAATTACGCCTTTAGATAAATTATTCTTTGTGCAACAAAGAGAGCAGGAGTTTAAACAAAAAGATGTGCAAAAGCTGATTGATCAGGCGCTTAAAAACCTCGGATACGGCAAGAAATAGCAGAAAATATATTATGATAGAAAACGCCGTGAAGCAGATTTTAAAGTTGGGGATAAAGTATTGAAGCGGAAATTTTCTTTATCAAGTGCCCCAGACAATTTTACGGCAAAGCTAGCTCCAAAGTTTGAAGGCCCCTATGTAATTCAGGAAATCAAAGGAGTAGTCTTATATCTTAAGAACGAGAGAGGGGAAATCTGTAAAGCAAGTCCCGACCAGGTGAAAAAATACTATAATCCAAATGATTTTGAAATCCTTAAAAGTTTCTTGCAGGACTCAAGTCTAAACGAAATAGAAGGTCCAGAGACAACAACTATTCCACCACCCAAGAAACAGAGAACTGAAGAGAGACCTAGCACTTCTACAACCCGGACGTCGGTATCAAAAGAAAAAAAAAATTTCAAACTCCAGCGTTTAAGAAAAACAAAAAATACAGATGCACCGGGTAAAGAAACCGTGGTAAAGAGGAAAACACCACCTACAAAGGATTGCAGGAGAAATTATACATCAAGGAGAACGCGCACACGGCCACAGAGTCAGGTGCCAGCAAGGCCGCCGTTCCGGAAACTGAAACGGCAACAGGAGGCACAAAAATACGAGGAACAAAAGAAATTCAAGGACTCCAGACCGGAGGACGTCAAGACCAGCCGTCCCAGGGAAAAAACGGAAATGCCAACAAGCAGACGATTACTCCGCCAAGAGGCCAGCATGTAGAGGACGCAAAAGAAAAAGGCAATGTGGACGACACTCGGAGGATCAATAAGGAGAAGATTGACATCCATGAAACCTCTAACTTGGGATCAATATTTGCCAAAAACGAATGACGGAGTTTCAAGCATCGAAAACTCAAAGATAAGTTAAAACCTTCTATAAATTTTTTTTCTCTTTTGTTCCGAAATGTTATGCATAAGTACGAAGTTCTATGTTTTGACGAAAGTCAATATGTCTCGGTTGAGACTTAGTTTTGTTTTACTTTATTTAGCTAAGGCAAAAGTATTATTTTCTTTAAGTGTAAAAGCTAAAAACAAGCATTTTCTGTTGGTCGAAAGACTAATTCTGTTATGTTAAAGCCAAAATTTGGCCGAAGATAAAAATAACTTCGTATTCTTGTATTAATAAGAATTTTAGTTTCAGTGCCGCCAGCTTGGCGAAGAATGAGTAAAGTAAAAATTTATTTTCTCTTATTCATTTTATGGTAAATTGTAAAAATCATATGTATTAAAATTTTGTAAATGTACGTAAATACTTGAATGTTATGTAAAAGTAGAATTTAGTCTAGAAGCATAAAATTGTAGATGCTAAAAGTGAATGCTTAAAAGCAATGAAGTCAAAATTTAAGTATTAAATTGTAGATAAAGTCATGCTTTAGAGCGAAAGCCTGCATGTTTAAAGATGAATGAGGGGGAAGTTAGAATGAATGTGTTTTGTAGGGTTCTCCACCTACATTTGAATTTTTAAGAATATTAAAGTAGCTCATTGAGTTGTAGAATGTCGAGTAAGGTGTGTCTATTTGGTCGTTGAATTCTAACAAATCATGGTGGTTAGGGGAAGTGTTGTAAGACTAAAACACGAATATTCCCGTTTGACACCACACATGGTGGAGAGCCAGGGTAAAGTTAAATTAATGCTTGAAAAATTGAATGAATGTGAAGTAAGCAATAACTAAGAAAAACGAATCGTTTAAAAACAAAAATTTATTGTGTCAAGAAAGTGTAAATTATAATGTATGTAGAAAGATACTGATACTTATTCCTTCCAGATGCTGGAAGGAAAGACCAAGATTGATTGATGAAGTCCAGGAAAAGTTGCTGTAAGAAGAGAGCTTTATAACGATCAACAGAATTTTAGTATACAATTGTTACATAAGATTTTTTTTGTGTAAACGAGGTTCTCGCCAGTTAGTTCAGAATTAGAGAAACTTACAACAGGTCGTTTGTAGGACCTGCTTCCAAGTTTTCCAAATTCTGGCAGCGGCAAATGTAGGGTTTTATATTTATTTTAACTAACATTTATTTTAAGTTTAAACTATCTTTCCTGTCAAGCCTTACTTTCCCCTGGAACTGCCAATGCCAGAATATGTAAATTTGAGTAGAACGCGCAAGGATTCAAATTATCAGCGGAAGTATTCGGATTTAAATAGGAAGGAAACGAGTTCGGTGTGTGATATTCTTACTTCACGAGCGCGGAGGTAGTTAGCGAGAAATTGAAGAACCCCGCGTTTCGGCCTATGTGCTTGGCGGGAAGTAGTGTTAATCGTTCAAGTGAGCTTCAAGTCTGCTGAATTAGCAGCGGTATTGTAAAACGCGGTGAGTTAGTTATTTTAGAGAGCCTCGTAGTTAGAGTCTTGTCTTTAAGTTCTTTTCAGGTTATTATTTTTATTTGACCGCCGAGATGGCGCCGTCTGTAAGCGTCAAGAGCACGCAATTGTAATTTATTACGTTGAATAAAAAGGGACTTAAACCCTTTACAAGACTCTGTATTTTTATCCAGTTTCCACAGTCACCCCTTGGTTGCGTGCAAGTTGGAGGCGCGCAACGTTACAAACTGAATCATTTTTTCAGGCTTTAAGGCGTTTTATCACACGTCGTAGACACCTCTCAACCATATATTCTGATAATGGGACAAATTTTGTGGGTGCAGAGAGAGTTTTGCAAACCATTGATTAGGACTGCCTCTGCTCTAACACTGCTGAAAAAAGAATACAATGGAAATTTAATCCTCCATCCGCCGCCTGGTGGTGTGAATGGTGGGAGCGTTTAATACAAATTGTAAAACAAATATTGAGAAAAACTTTAGGTCGTGCTTCTCTTGGTAAGTTACTCACCTTCTTGTGGGATTGTGAAAGAATTGTCAACTCAAGACACTTGCGTACGTGGTCTGACGATATTGAATATCCCTTGCCTTTAACTCCGGAAAAATTTCTGCATGAAACTCCACAGTCAGTTGTACCTGATATTGACAGTGTGGAGAAAGAAAAATTGAGTAGAAGAGCGAAGTATCTCCAGAGAATGAGGGAATTGTTAAGAGTGAGATTTCGCTGTGAGTATCTAGGGCGCAGTTAAGGCAGCAGTCTATAATAAATTACAAAAATAAATCTCTCTCTGTAGGAGAAATTGTCTTGTTGGAGGATCAAAACAAAAACCGTGTATATTGGAATTTAGCACGCGTTATTCGAGTGATCCCTGGTCGAGATGGCAACATAAGAGTTGCTCTTGTAAAATGTAATAATTCAGGGTTCTTGAGTTACAGAGATTGTATAGATTGGAACTGGATAATATAGTAGATAATACTCAAGATGATCAAATTCCTTTCACCACCAGTAGTGGTACAGTTGTAAAATCATGAGTAATATAATTCATGTCTGAGTTATTATGATTTATTTTGTTGTGCTATTATTATTGCTGGATTATTACTCCTCAGTATTAATTTTGTTTTCAAGTAATATGATTTAAGTACTAAGCAATTTTCTTTGTTGTATAACCCTGATTTATATTGATGTAAGATTTATGTTTTGAGTGTGGTGGGAGAAATGTGGCAAACAGATGGCAACCGCCTTTTAAGAGGAGGGGGTTCTTGCCCCCCTCCTAGAGACTCGGCAGACGAAAAGGAGAAATCGCTGTGCGCATGCGCAGATGCATTTAATTTTCTGTAAATTTCTTAATTTTCTGTTGCCTTGTTAATTTGTATATAGCAGGTGTGAACAATAAAGTGGTGGTGTGTTAAAGTGTGCCGTCTCAGTTTTTTTTTTTTGAGGGGGGGGGAACCTGTAAGTTATTTATTAAGCAACAACAGCTTTCCTTTATTTTTTCTCGCTCAATAGGTTTCCCGCATCCGCTCTGAGAGATCGATTCTTATATCAAGTCAGAATAAGGTTGAAAACTTCGAACTTTATGCCCAAACCCCTAAACTAGTTTATATGACGTAGCAAGGTTACCCAGCAACGAAGCTCGACTTAAACCAGTTACGACTTTTATACTACTGTCTGAATAGAGTCTTAGGGAATTTTAGACTGGAAGGAATGTTACGGATCATTGGACTTGCTTATACTTACGGCAAAAATTCTCCATCGCATTCATACACTAGCCACTGTTATGACAGCACAAAATTCCACTATTAATTTAATCAAATTTGTATATTTTATTTTTTGAAAATTCAGCTTACATTCCTCCATTTTTTCCTCGAAATTGCAGATGTCGATGAATGTGCAGAAGGCATCAATGAATGTAACGACGCTGTTGAAATCTGTCAGAATTTGTACGGTAGTTACCAGTGTGTGCCACGATCGAACAAAAGGCAAGATTGCCCAGCAGGATTCAAATGGAACAGGCAAGAGGAAAAATGTGACGGTAAATAATTTTCTCTTCTGTAATTTCTAATCTGGTTCGTGATACAGTAATAATATAGACTTCTGAAAAGTTTGCAAAATATAGTCTAGGGTCTCTGAAATATAGCTAGTTGTAAATTATGTCGCAAAAGGCTTTCTCCATTTTCTGCATAATTTTAGTGGAAGAAAATAAAATTAACATCATCATCAAATGGGTAACTATTAACCATAAAAGTTTTGTAAATTTCTCCTCTTTTGACAAAAAATCTTTTCTCTTAGGGAAAAATTTTAAATGTTATAAAGTCCTTAATAATGAAAGCAAGAGATAAGATTTCCGAAGACTGGGCAATGACAATGATTTTTATAATTCATTGTTTAGCAACAGAAGATTGTGCTGAATAACTTAGGAAATGCAGAGATTCCGCACGTTTCTGTGATTAATAAAAAGGAAAAATTATATGACAAGAATATTAATATGAATTTATAGAATTTTATTTAAACATATAGAATTTTATTTAAAAACTCTTTCTTCATGTACAGGAAAAAATTAATTGGAAAGGAGGAAAATCTTTGTCAACGGCAACAGATTTAAAATAAATAAGTTCTTGAGTAAACAAAGATTGTGAAGAACAACCAGTAAGGACAGGGAATGCGTTAAGTGCAAACAGAATTTTTTTTTTTTTTTTTTTTTTTTTTTAACATCAAAATAGAGTGAATGATGTAATTTGGTATACGTAAACAGAATTGGGTTTCAGATAAATTGTATCTTTGAAATTAAATTTATTGAGTACTTTACAATTAAATTTAAGGTTGTCATTTAGGGAAAGAAGGGGTTTATAAACACGTAATATTGGCTGAAGTCAAATTAGTTTGTTGGAGAGGTAAAGCTTGTGGAAGATTGAATGCGAAGCCATTTTATTAAAGTCATTTTCTGAACAGATAAATCAAGGGAGGAAGGATTCCTTAACGATTGACAATAAGATTTCATGACTGTGTTTAGGATATGCTAAGAGAAAATAACTACTATCATGAATCTTTTGTCCCTAATCTTTTAACAATCAACTCTTCTTTGCATAAAAATTTGGAGTGACTGCATATCTATTCCCAGAACGAGCTGTCATAGGTGTCAAAAACAAGATTAGAGGATAATTTTAATGTAAAAACGAATTTCTAATAAACTAAACAATGCTTCCTTTGCATGTTATTTAAAAATAAGTTTCGAAATTGATTAGAATTTAAAAGCTAAAAATAATTAAAGACTGATTTATATTACTTTGTGTTTGGTCAGAAATTTTAAAAACGTGTTTTTGGTACTACCTAAAGTTAATGTTATTGTAGCATAGGTCGCTTTTCTGTTACTAGTTCCTTATGTATGTTTCGTGTTTTGTGACGGTCATTTGTATTTGTACTCGTGGGTCACTTAATGGGTTGTCTTTTTATCCCCTGCTATGTGTGTCTCGTCCTTCTGTTTATGTTTATGTTGCATCTAAAGACGTAGATGAATGTCTGGAGAAACTAGATGATTGTACCAAGCCTGATGAAGAGTGTAGGAACACCATTGGTGGTTATGAATGCGATTTTAGATGCCCGCTCATGATGCGTTATGATCCGAACCAAAGGAAATGCGTGGGTAAGTTAATTTTATAGCTTCCTATAAATTTATATTTTTATTGAAAATTTAGACAGTTTTCATAGAGGCAGAAGTTGTTTTCAGTAAGAATTATATATATATATTTTAATTATGAAAAGCATTTTCGAGGAGTAATAGCCTTAGTGCCTGGGGGAGGAACAAACTGTATGTTACTAGAGCTATCTTTCTTAATGTTTCGATAAAATAATGTTGAATTGTAAATCTGTAATTGCTAACGATGTATTAATTTTTAATTTTATTTCATAATTAATATTTTACTTAACAAATCATTAATTAAATATGCAGTTTATATATACGTTAAAACTAGAACATTAACTTCACCGTGGCGCGAATTTCGCGAAAATTTTAAGTTTTTGCATATATATATCTTTCTGCGAATACTGAATAAGCGAATTTCGTATTATTTTAGCACTTTTCTTAATTTTTATTATAAAGGTCAAATTTTTTACGATGTAAATAAATTTGATGCTGCTTTTCATTAGAATTTATGCAAGAAATTCATTACAATCCCTGCTAAAAATACCTCACTTTCTACTGGTTTGTATTGGTTTATATTGACTTTTACTGGTTTTCTTACTGGTATCAATACAATAATAAATCTTCTGTTGGTTTATATGGGTTTATGCTAATTTTCTATCTGACGTTAATAGACTTTTTGTAAACAATAAAATTAACAGAATGAAAATATGATCTCATTAAGACCATCAGAGTGACCTGGAAACGCAGGTGGTCGTTTTAGAGAGGATTTTTAATAAATATGCTTATTTATTTGATTAATTTTTTTTGAAACAACAACAGTAATCATATACATCACACACAGCGAGGTCTCTCTAAGGCGACCAGCCGCAAATAAAAACGCATCTTGTTAAACGCATCAATGAAAACGCATAATCAGCCGCAAATAAAAACGCAAGTGGTCGCTTTAGAGATATGATGCTCAACGCCAATATATACTCAAGTTCTCAGAAATACGTTTATCTTTTAGAGGTGGTCGTCTTAGAGAGGTTACATCTACGATATGAATCTCTCTAAAGCGACCAGCCACACTTGCAGATTTTTCTTTGTGAATGGTCGCCTTACATAGGGAATATTCAATACCAAGCTATACTTATGTTTTCAGAAATACTGGTTTTTTTCAGAGGCGGTCATCTTAGGGAGCTGGTTCTCTGAATACACACACACATACGTACTTACATTTCTGATATTACAAATAAACACCGGTATGAACTATCTCTTTAACGCGACCAAGTTCATTCACAATCGCAAAACTTTTTTCTCCGTGTTAACGCTGACGTGTGGAAAAAACTTCCCCCCCCTCTCTCCTCCGCTCTCAAAAAAAGTTTCCCAAACGAGCAATATGGCGCCTTTCTAGTTAATGTTGTGCGATGTATGTGTTATGGTCTTCGTGGATGTAGTAATGCAGTATATAATTTACTATATTAAAAATTTTACTATGTTTTACTGATTAGAAATTAGTAATAAATAATAAAATACCAGCACTGACTGTGAATATGAAAGCAAATACCACTAAAGCCATGCACGTGTAATCATATCTAATGTTTGAGAGAACTTTGCTGATAGCTGACTAGTACTGAAAGGGAGTTTCTGTGCGTGAAATTGATTTTCCATCTTTACTCTTATCCTAAAAAGCAATGTGCTTAAAGACTAAAAAGTGACGATTTCAGACTTGATAATTTGGCTCGGTGTGTTTACATCAGATGCACAAATATAGTTTTTGCATTCTACTGAAACTGTATTTTTGAAAATTTGTTTTTTTTTTTTATTACAGTTTAAAAATGCTTTTTAAAGTTTCTTCATGTAGATTGCTTTATCATTTGAATATTATGTACTAATAAATTTGAGCATACCTTACTTAAAAATGATCTTGCATGATTCAATTTTTAATTTTTCGACTAATGTGATGTGGCCGAGCAAAAAGAATGTTTTTTATGTCTTAAAAAATGTACTAATTATATTTCGCGAGCAAAAAAGGTAAGTTTTATGAATGAAGTAAACATTGAAGTATTTAATGTGTTTATTACTTATTCAATGAGGTAAACAAGCCATACAACCTTAAGGAATCTTTTTTCCATTAATAAATTATGTGAAAATTTAGATGATCATAGTAGCTTACACTGTTTTTTAACTTTTGGCCTATTTTTCTTTACAAGTATGAGACTAGAACCACATTTTTACATTAAATATTTTGTGATATTTTGTTAAAACACATATGATCATTTTTGTGCATATTTTAATTTTCATTATCATTAGTTTGTTATTGCTTCAATCGAGGTACACATCCTTCTTCCGAAACATTAATGTAAATCTTCGACCACAAAATAAGTTTTGCAATATTATTAGGCATGAAAAATAATTTCGTGAAATTTTGCTATTTTTCCCGCAATTGCTGCCCTTATCTAATGATAAAATTACAGCTTTCTTTATAACATACTAAAAATTGAAGAGAAAATAAAAATTATTCTTATTAAATTTAATTAACTCTAGGTTAAAAAAGTTATTTACATAATATGCTTTAAATGCTGAAATATTTACTTTACACAGTTTGTTTTAAAATTATTAATGTAATTCTTTGCAACAAACAAGTTTTTCATTGTTTTAAATCAACCACGTCATTTTTTTTAAATCAAAGTTACTTGAAAACTTTAATTTACTTTTTTAATTGAGCATTTTGATCCAGCAAGGCTAGACAAATATTTCAATTTCTTATAGCTATTTTGAACCCATGTCTGCCTTAAATTAGTACTCTGAGCCATCAGTAACATCAAGTATAACTTTTCAAATGCTAGAAATAGATTACTAATATTTATATTATATTACAATATATTACTAACATTTACTTTAGAATTATAATATAATTGTCAAAAAATAAATAAATATTGAGGAAACACCACGCTAAAGTAATAATATAATAAGGTTTAAACCGTTGAGTTGCTTCCGACCCAGATAAATCTTTATTTATCCATACGGAATTTAATACCAAAGCAAATGTATTTACTTGATCTATATACACTAAGTTACATCGGCACTGTTACAAGGCTCTTGAAATATATGTACACAGAGTGCTTGCCTTGCAATTTGAACTAGATAAAATATATTACATGGGCACAGTTACAAGAAAGAAATATATATTTTGAAGAAATATATATTCGCAGCAAACATTTTCTTTACAGATCTTATTTTTACTGATTGCCTTGCAACAGTACCCAGCGTTGTACTTACATTTCGAAACCAAGACTATCTCTAGGTGGCTACCTTAGAGAGTGCCATTGGCAGATACTGTGCTGTAGAACTGGCATTTGAGGGATTAGTTACTATTACTGGCATTATCTCAACGGTTTCTATTCTATGTCATGTACATTGTGCAATCTATATCTTCCGTTCTACCGAGCCAACTGACGAAATTCAAATTCCATTTTTTATTTCTTGAAAGTGGAAATATGTATATTAGAGTTAGGATGTATATTAGAGTTGTATATAGCAATCATTCTAACATAGGTGTGTGTGTGTGATTATGACAGAGCCTCGAGGGTTATCTGCCTAAGGGGATGGATGCCTTCGTGGAGGACTTTCTAAGGAGAACTGACTCGTATACACATTACACATGGGGAAAACCACGAAAACGCCCATGCAGCCATCCCGTTCGCGGGATTCGAACCTCGGACCGAACTACCAGTATTCAGCGACTTAACCGCTCGGCCGCTGGTGGGGTAACATAGGTAACATAGGTATTTTGACACAATGACATGCCAGTTATTTTCAATATTTTGATTCTACTACTGAAATTAGGCCTAATTATTAAATTTTGTAAAATTTGGTGCAAAATTTACGAAGAAATTCAAAAATTTATCTTGGTGTATTTTTTCAGTTTTTGCCAAGAATAATTTACTTGGCAAACTTCTTAATTTATAGAAAGCTATTTTCCTTTTCTTTTTTTCATTGCAGGCGAGCGGAAAAAAAGTCATTGTTCATACTTTCAAATAATTTTAACAAAGTGCGTATTGTCATTTAGCGTTATTATCGCTGGAAAAAAAAAAAAAAAAAAAAAAAAAAAAAAAAGATGCCAAATTTCAAAACGCTGCAGTATGTAAATTCATGCATATCGTAGAAAATTTTTAATAAAAAACTTTAATTCAGGTGTGCCTAAAAGTACATCTACTTTAAAATGATGTTAAAAAATTTTTAGGTTATAATATAATTTTTTTTTCAAAAAATTTTTAAAAAATATTTTAAAATAAAAATTTTAAAAATAAATCATAAAAAATGTGCGAATTATAATTGGATTAAGCGTAAGTTTCGAATTTTGGAACAAGGAATCAAGTAGGTTTAATAAAAAAAGAGATATTCATAAATATATATCAAATTCAATTAACATTGAGGAGCTAAAATTTTGAGAACTAATTTTTTTTAAACTACTCTTCCAATTTTTACAAAACTCGGCAGTTTGGCATAATTTGAGTTGTAGAATCGAAATATGGAAAAAAAATTGGCATGTTATTTCAGAGAAAGTCCAATTTTGTGCCAAAATACCTATATCAGAGCAATGGTATATATAAATAGCAATGGTATATATAAATGTAATATATATCCTAAGTCGCGCTTTCGAGACATGAAAAACGCAACTTGAATTTCGTCAATCGGCCCAGTAGAACGGGAGATATAGAACTGTCTCGTTTTGTTTTTTCACAGTGTACATTATTGCACAGCTGTCTATCACAGCTTTGAATTTTCGATGTGCTGACCTGTTCGTCTTAATATTCTGAATATTGCGGCCAGAAACTGTCAGTTGGCTTTTTGACCCAATATGAAGACCTGAGAAGACAGGAGAATAGGAAATGATCAGAGTCGTCTTCGTTACCATACTCGCAGTTGTCACTGCCACGAAAGTCAAAGAGACATTTGTATGCGAGGAATGCGCCATGTCACGTTAGAGATTGTGTCAAGTAATAATTTTGAGTATGCATTTCTGTTGATACTTTTGGGATAAATCTGTAGACCCGTCGACGCGTTTGGCGCCCTGATTCCACCGCTATTGCCACTGTGAGATCAATTGCTCCCATGTCTTTTTTTAATATATCAGATTGGCAATAAAGGGGCATCCTCCCTGATTTCTGTGGAGTTCTCCGCCTCTTTTGCCGCTGCATCGACCTTCTCATTTCCATTTATTCTGCTGTGCTCTGGAACCCAACTGAGCCTTGGCTTATTTCGTTCTAGAATTTGAAGAAGTTGCTTTCTAATTCTTTGCACAATTGGGTTGCGGGAGCTGTCTCCCGCTATTGCTGCCAAGCTGGACGCCGAATCCGTGTAGATCCGTCTAGTGACTCCAGCATTTTCGTCACAGTATGTGATTGCTGTGCTGATGGCTAGAAGTCCAGATTGGAACAGAGAGTTCTGCTGTGCCAGCTTTCTTTCCATATGTGTATTACGTCTCCGTCCAGAACGAGACAATAAGCACAACCAGTGCCTACTGATGTTTTCGATCCGTCTGTGAAGAGGCAGTCAGGCAAGTTTGGTGCTGTTGTCACGAGAGAAATGTGTGTAGTTTCGTAGATTATTATCAGCGGGGTGGTAAGGGATTTATGGATAGTGTTACTTATATTCGCCATGATCGTAACTCTGACCCCATGGTACCCATAGTGTGCGTACTGCGCAGCCTTGTGACTTTTATGAGTGCCGCTTCCCCCTTTCTGCTATTAAATCGAAGGGTGGCGTCCACATGTGCTCCCCATGCGACCGCTCTGTAAGTCACAATTTTTTCCGCCACCGTCTTATACTAGATTCGGAGTAATTTAGGTGATAGTCCCCATTTCGCTGTTGTTATATGCTTCACTGTGTTGGTCAGGTTGCTGATACGTTGTTTTAAAACTAATATATGCGAGAGCCAGGAAAGTCTCTATTCAATGACTATGTCCAAATATTTGAGTTCTGGGACACACTTTATTCTGCTTTCTAATAGACAGAGGCTAGGATTCCTTCTCAGTGGAGGACCGCGCCCTGCGATAAGAGCTTGCGTTTTTTACATTGACAACTCAAGTTTGTACTGCCTTGCCCATTGTGCAAAAATATTGAGGAACACCTGGTTTTGTTCTCCAGGTTGCTACGACCTGACACTGCCATTAGGAAATCGTCCGCATACGCTATTACTGTAACTCTTTTCATGTTCTCAAAAAGTGCAAATACTGTATTGGCCACCAAGTTCCATAAAATTGTCCCAAAGCACGAACTTTATGGGCATCCTCTTGTGAGGGTCTTTGTTAGTTTCACTATCCGTGGTGACTTGGACACTGGTTTTCTAGGTAGCTCTTCAGCAGGTGCTGAATCGAGGCGGGACAGTGATGGTAGTCCAATTCGGCAATAATATCTGGTCCGCCACAGCGAATCGAAAGCTCCTTTGATATCCAGAGCAACGACCGCTGTATGGAAGTCATCAGCTCTGTTGCGGGTAACAGTGTCTAATGATCACTGCGTGATCTGTGGGAAATCCAGCTTTAAAGCCGTATTGTGAGGGTGGATACTATGATGCTGATTTAGGTGACGTTATAAGTAAAATTCACGCTATAAGTAATTAAGTGGTGGATTATACTTTCTGTGTTGCTGAAATTTTAGAGAATTTAAAAGCTTTTTCAGTGGGAGTAAATGATTTTAGGAGCTGAAGGGTTGGATGTCTTTGAAATATTGAAGCTATATTTTAGTAATTTCATCTGATCCTCTGAAAAATTAACTTCCAGAGATATCAAAAAGGTGATTGCTACTATTTAAAGTGGGAAGATTAACAGGATATCTGAGGCTAGGCAATTGGGGTGTGAGTGTTTAGAATTTAGAAGTAAGGATATTTTTATACCGTTGACAAGCGGTTTCAGTTCTAGGCCAAGATTTACGATCAAAAGAGGAAACATTTTAAATGAAATTGTCAATTTTCAGATGAAGGTTATATAATTCATATTAAATTTAAGACAAACGTTTGAGCGTGTTTGTGAAGAATTAGGGACAATTTGAATTCATGGATAATTTTCGAAACATTAACTAAGATCTGAGATTATATTTGACTTGTACAAATTTGGGAATGATATTCTGATTCTGATGTTCGCATTTGAGCAAAGAATGAAGATGGTTCAAGAATCTTATATGCTTGGCGTAATTTACAAAATCAGGTCTTCTCTGTTGACATTTTAAACCAAAAGGGGAACAAAAATGAAAAGTAGGTAAACACTAAAAATTTAAAATAGGGAAAGGGAAACGGTTAAAATACGACATTTTCCAATGACGTTAAAAATATTCTGCAATCACTTAGAATGACAAAGTAAAGAACAAGATAGCGCAAGTGGGCAAGCAAACAAAATTGCATCAGCTTTCTCGAAAATGCCGTTTGTTAGCGAAACTCAAGGAAGAAGAGAAAAAACACCAGAGTAAAACATATAATTAGGCAAAACAACAACCTTGTGTTGGGCAGAGCGAATAGGTACAGGGCCCTCTTCACCATGAGCAAATAAATTCTGCAATGAAGAGAGGAAGATATGATTATGTCCGAAAAGAAGATATGAACAAATCTTCGAAAGCTAATCATAGTTGGAAATTTAATCACGGGTTTGATTTTGGATCTGCAAAAATTATCCAAAACGCATCTTCGGTTGGTGAATTAGATTTGCTTGAAGCGTTTCATATTCACAAAAATTTATCTTGTTTAGTTAATATTTTAATTCCAATCCAATCTTTTCTGATGCTTTTAAAATTCTGTTGAATTAATTTTTCAATTTCGTTACTATTTCTGCGGAAAGATGACAGCTGTGGCTTCTTAACGCGTCTCAAATTTTGATGAATAATATGAGTATCTTTATTTTTACGCACAAATTTTTCTCGCCAAGATGAACTTTTACATTTCACTTCTTCCAACGCTGATAGGCTACCGTCGGCTGACTCCACCTACTGCCCGACCAGGTGTTTACGCTTCCAATTTCGCTCAGGTAGGCTCAGTGAGTGAGTTCAGCTCAGTGACTATGTGTCTTAGCTTTTCTCTTTTCTAAATATTTTATTCTTCCCATCGTGGAAATATATTGTATAATTTTCGTTGTTATATTCGTTTCAAATTTAGGCAGACATGGATGCAGAGATGGTCTAGAACATATTTAATCAGCCATTCAATTACAGAGTGTCTCTGTTATTCCACATAAACTAGAATAGACTTTATAATGACCTGGCGAATTCTCGCACAGGCGTGAATAAAAACTACTGACTCAGACGAAAGATAAAAATAACCCTTTATTAATTCAAACTAGTTAACAAAAAGGGACGGACTTCTTGCGTTACAAAGACACCGTCAACTTGCTGTGGAAACTAAAACGTAGAATATTATAATACAAGTCAAACCTGAAATAAATAGTGCAAGATAACACTTAACTTACGCCTAAGAGGTGAACTCTCAATAATATTTTTTTATGTAAAATAAGGAAAACCCTGCACAATAAATGGTTACAATTTAGACTTTCAATTTTTCATTTGTGGAAATACAAAATATGTAGATTTTTATTTGGCTAATTTTATTGGCTAATCATTTTAAGCAGATTATTTAAAAATTTGCTTTCTGTACTGACTATATATTTTTAAATATCATAATTTTATTCTACAGATATAGATGAGTGCAAGGAGATTCCTGATGCGTGTGACTCTACAGAAATTTGCAGAAATATTATTGGTAGCTTTGAATGTATTCCTTCATTAGAAAACTGCGAAAAGGGATTCGTATTCGATTCTAGCCGTAAACGATGCATTGGTATGTAATTTTGTATAATTGTCAAATATGCGTATTCAAAAAATTTTGCACTTTTCGAAAGCAAGATATGTATATACATTGTAGCCATAAACGTCTTTACTCAGCCTTTATTTTCGCAACTTTTGTCGCAGACGTTTAAATTAAAAAAAAAAAAAAATGAGTTCACCAAAAAAAAGTAAAAATTTAAATTTTTAATTTATCAACGTATAAACTTATATTATTTTAAAGTAAAATATAAAACATTTGTTTACAAAATACAAGATACTTAAATATAAGTTATTTCGTTTTAAAGTTGGAAACCTAATTCAGTGGGATGAAGTTTTGTACGAAGTTAAAAATTATATATCAGTTTAGAAAAAGATTTCTGGTGTTTATACATTAAGTGACTAGCATTGTCTATGAAAATGGCGGGAAAAGTAATGAACAATATAACGTTGATCAATCTTATTCACAGAATCTTAGCAAAATTAGTGTTCTGGAAAACACTAGTAGACTTTAATACTAAAAAAAGAAAACTATTTGTAGTTTAATGAAATATTTTTGTATGATTACTAAATTATGATTCTGAAGTAATAAAACAGGGTTTCAAAAAATTAGAGACCTGTGACCTTCAGATATCCCAAATTAGGAAATTAAATATCTTGGTGAATCTTCGTTGTACGAGATTCGAACTTTTTGGTCTTTATATTTTTATAACGAAGATTTTCTACATATAAATATCAGAATAGAAGACCGTATAAAAATTTGGATTTCGTACTTTTAATAAAACTGATATTTAGTTTGGAACCGCCATAACATGAATATTTGCGACATTTAAAAACTTTCTGTAGCTGGAAGTATATGTGTACGACCAACGGTTGCCAGGTAAGAACTTTTGTGGATACGGTGTACATTAAAAGTAGTACTATTTTGATGGCATTTGTCCCTTCTCCAAGAAAAATTAAAATTCCAAAGCCCGTCTGAAATATTTAAGAATGAAAGGCAACCATTTAGAGAGAAAGTTTAATCATTGACTTTCCCGCAGGGTTGAAAATTAAGCCTGTTTCAGAAATTAATATCCACCATTTAAAGTGCTATTATTATTCACGAAAAGTGAGAAATGGTTGCAATTTAATTAAATAAATCGTGATACCAGGATTTCATATATATTTACATTTGTCTTTAAGGTTGATGTCGAACACATACGCACAAGACATAAATGTTTCGCACTATCTACTTCAATTCTTCAATTCAATAGATTACCAGAAAGTTATGTTGTTGTTGTTGTTACTAATCTCCATGTCTAGGAACATACTAGACGAGGTCCACGAGTCCATTCACCTTCAGAAAATCGAAAGCAAGCTTAGGAGACTTGTAAATTAAATATCTTGGTGAATCTTCGTTGTACGAGATTTGAACTTTTTGGTCTTTATATTTTTATAACGAAGTTTTTTCTACATATAAATATCAGAATAGAAGACCGTATAAAAATTTGGATTTCGTACTTTTAATAAAACTGATATTTAGTTTGGAACTGATATTTAGGTCCTCAAGAGACAACTCCAGGCACTCAAGGACATGTGCCGGTGATACCGGTGCATTTTGACATTTAGAATAAATTGGGTGCATCTTGAGACTTCTCTCAAAGTAAGTCCTTTCAGATGTCCGCTGAAGAATCGGGAAAGTGTTGTCTGAACACATCTATTGCAATCAATAGCAAGAGATCTTCCAGGACAATCAGCTTGATACCAGGGATGATTCGGGGGAACGAGCCAAATTTGCCTGTCTGCATGTCTTCTAATGGAATACAGTTCAAAATATGTCAATGAATTGGTAACTGGTAATGGTTCTTCAGAACTCTCCTTCGCCAGAATGTCTTCCAATTTCATTCCCCCATATGTCAACATGGGAAGGAATCCACTGAAGGTGCACTTCACAGAGTGACGAGACATGCTTAAGCTTGCTAAGAATTGCAATTCCGGCCTTATCACCAACTCTTCACCAGTTTGAAAGATATTGGATGGCGCTACGACTGTCAGACAAAAACCATACTGCCTTAAGATCTGTAAAGGACGAAACTGCGTTTAGTCCTTCTTCGATGGCTATAAACTCACTCTTAAAAACCGAACTGAAGTCAGAATTTCTTTTCTTTATTTTACAATATTTCCATTTGGGCATTTAATGACAACTCCACTACAGGAACGAGAGCCCTCGCTTTTACTCCCATCAGTATAGATAAGGGTAGCTTCAGCGGGAATTGCGTGTATAGTCGTAACAGGGCCGGAATATCATTTTTCTTGAAAACTCGAGACAAAAGTTCCGTATGAAACTCGACTCTAGGGAGTCCCTCAGACGGATATAAACATTGTTTCAAGTAATGCTGCTCAACATTACGGTCAATTGTACCAGCATACTCAATTTGACTAATGGGTTATTTTTCTTAAGTCTTTGGTTATTACTCCAGTGCTGCAGGAATTCTGAAGTTCTATTTTGGGAGTTAAAACTGAAAAGTTTATTATAGTATTTTGCAAGGGCAGCATTTCTTCTTAGGCTAAGGGGTTGAAGGTCTGTTTCATACAACGCAATTTTATTCGGGCAACTGTTGTGTAAGCCACTTATAATACGAGAAGCACTAAGAACCAGATACCAAAAATTTATTCTTTCATCAAATAAAAAAAGACTTTTAAACAGGAAAATGGCATAATTATTCTATTTAATATTTATTAAAATATATTAAAATAGAAAGGTAGCTTTTTAATGAGTCGTCAGTTCGGATTTTATTTATTTCAGATATACAACATGTAAAAATATTTAATAAAATTCTGTTTTAGAAATACTGACAGTTTCATTTCTCTGTCGAAGAGATTACATTGTTTAAAAAACTGTTGAACTAATATTGTTGGTAAAAGATATCTTATTTTAAAAAGGAAAAAATCGCTTTTGTTTATTAATATGAGACTATACACCGAAAACCAACGATCTTTAAGTTACTTCAAGTTTTCTTTTCACTTGTCAGCTTTGTTAATCAATCATTCTTGATATTATCTAATAAAACATACCTATAGTGTAGAATCGGTATTTACTGTCTAGGAATATATTGTAAACTTACTCCTTTTGTGGCTGTCTAGGGGCTAATAAACTAGTCCGATTTATGTAAAACTTGAATATTTAATGAAACATGAATAGTTGCTACAAACTGCAAAATAATTAATTACATGCGTAGATGGAAATAAGATGAGATTATTTACAGGTGAAGAGAAGTAACCGTCTTTTACATGCAACCATCTTTTAATATAACATCATCGTATCAATGGCGGAATTGTCTGTGTTTCTTCCAGCGGATGGATCAAAGATTTGTTTTCACCAGCTTGTCGTGTCGTCCGATTATTATCGACGATGCCACCCTACAACTTGCTCGTCCATCCTGATTGGAATGCGGCCTGGCATTCTGGTAGTAAGACCATCAACAGCTGGGAATCTGGAAAATAAAATTAAAAAAAAAAAAAAAAAAGAATTGTTAGTTTGCTACTGGGGAAAGTCGCTGAGTTTTGCATCTCAGTCGTCATCGTTGAAATAACGCTGAACTTCTTCGACGCTCTTTCAGTGTGTCATCTTTAACAGGAATACCTTATTTTACAAGTCTTCCTTTCATGTTGTTGAACAATTCGTGAATTCGTCTTCGTACATATGTCTTCTCAACCATCGTCTGGATACGTCCGTCTTCTTAGATGTCGTCTGGATACGTCTTCTAAATGCGTTCTTAGACATCCTCAAGAACCGTCATTCGAATGCTTCTTATTAAAATCGTCTTCTTTATACCATCTTTCTTGATACATTTCATCCTTAGGAATCATCTTTATTCTTCTCAAAATAGTTCACGACTTTTAAACAGTAGTCCATATAAATCGGGAGAAATTTGTCAAGTCGGGAAAAGTCTATATCAGGAATCATCAAAATTGGTATTTCATTATCAAGATCGTCTGTCCATGGTTTCAGTATTCAGCACAGGTACTAGTCTTGAACGGTCCTTCCGTAAACAACCTTCTCCACGTCGTATGTGTCATTAGGCTTCACCTTGGTGATTTTGTATGACCTAAAACTTGGATTTTTAGCTTTATCCTGGCCCTAGTTTGAGTGCGTTTCTAGCTACCATATCATTGATCTTGTATTTACGAGGGAGTTTTCGACTTCGATTATAAGTCTTTCGATCTCTTCCTGGATCTTCCGAATCTGCTCTTTCGCCTCTTTACGTAGATTTCTCTAGACTCGATAAAGTCCCTCTGAATTTCAGCTTCTATTAGTTCTTTAATCTTCCTGTCTTATTCGTCTTATCTTCGTACCAAACAAAGTTCGAAAGTGTCGAATTGATACTCCTCTGAAAAGTCGAATTAATTATTTGCTGGACATCATTTACGTGTTTGTACCATTTCGTAGGGTCATCTATAGCCAACTTAGAAATGACTGATATGATAATGGAATTCAACCGCTCTACTTGTCCAGTGCTCTTGGTAATCCTGTTGTGATTAAGATAGATAATTTTTCCTTAGTACAATAATCAGCAAATTCTTGATAAGTAAATGCAGTACCTCTGTCAGCTACTATATTGCAGGGATTTCCAAATAAAAATTTTTTAATTTAGTTTAGCTATTACTTCTTTACTAGAGGTGGTTTAGTTGGATGTAACCAAACAATTTGTAAACATCAATAACCGCGAAAATGTATTTATAATTCTTGTTAGAACTCTCCAAGGTCCTAAATGGTCTATGTGGTAAGTTTAGAGGATATCTTCTTTAGGTAAAGGATGTAATAATCCTTCCTTCTTTCCAGATTTCCGGTGCGTCTGTAATACGCGTTTTTCAATTTTTGAATTCCCTGAGCTTCATTTTCGGAAGGAATAATGATGTCATCCATATAGATTACAACAATATTGTCGATTAAAAGATCACAAAATATATCATAGATGTATCTTTGGAAAACACTTGGGCTGTTAGCAAGACCAAACGGGACTTTCAAAAATTCAT